GCTCCCAACTCGAACAGTTATGTAAGTGCTTTGGTAAGTGTATTTTTTGCGGTCTGAAACGGACTAATCTAATTTACATTATTTCCTATGGGAACAAATTCGTTCAGTAATGGCACTCAAACAGCCTTCTGGAACAAATTATGATTGAAATTCTAGGTACCACTGTATTTCTGCTTGCTTAATTGAGCAATGTTCGACAGATACCCAGGTGCCTTTTGCTGTGTCGTTTTAATGGATTTTTCCTGATGTTACATCACTGATATTTTCCATAACACTAATGTGATAGATGGCAAGTGATTTTCTCGCAATTGGAAAACGAGAGAATTCGTATTAAATACAATTGCAAACAGATCATTTTTAGGACTGGCTTGCCATGAGTTTGAGTCCTGCCTGTGTTTTAATTTACAAATAAATTTAGTAACAAAATATGCTTTTTGTTAAGAAAATTATTATTTATTGATGGAGCTTCCACTGGAAAAAGCTCTCCTAGAGGTGACTTTTTTTTTTTTTTTCAACAAACGGCCGTATACCCACTGAGGCAGGTAGCCCAACAGCGGAGCTCCGCCTCGTCCGAAAAACGAATGTTTCTCTTTTAAATTTAGTATTTATGTGGGAGATAGGGGTTACTAGGCGCCCCTTGCTACCTAGAGTGGATTATGTATGTAATAATTTATGTTTACTCTGCTTTAGTGTCATTTATGAACCTTTATACATACTGTATTTTCTCAGCACTATATTGCATGCTCTTTTTCCCACTAATTAGTCTTTGTTAAATCAATCTGTGCCTAGTATGATGAGGCATCAGAGGTGGACTTCGGGTTTCGGCTTCAGCGTTGTTTACTGACATTACGTTTACAAAATGCTTAGAAAACATCATTCTTGTATGCCTCATGCGCCGTATATGCCAGAAGATACTGTATACAACTTGACTACCGGTGTTTCTTTTTTCTTTGCTGGCTGGGAGATTTCACCTCAGACAGAGTAAATAATTATAAATTTGAGTGTGAACAATTAAGTATCTTATTGAGGAAATGTTTGCTACAGAGTGGATTCATCGTTCTTGTAACAAAGAAGAATGGGTGATGATCAGAAGGTGTTTTGAGGTAATCAGTCCCTCGTGCTTCTCCTGATCTTCACCACTCTTTGTATAGGACTGATGAAACCACTGTGTAGCAAAATGTTTCCTCAATAAAGATACCCAAGTTTTTGATGTTGCCAAGTGACATAGTCAGGTGTAATATTGTTCACTGAACTGAAATTTATGCTTGAAAAGTGGCGTAAAGGCAATTTTGACTTAGGCCAAAATGACGTAAAGTGGGGCATGACTATACTTGCCAATTAGTTAAATTACTTAGAGTACAGCTTCTCCTCACTTAACGATGGAGTTCTGTTCCTAAGACCACTTCGTTAAACGAATTCATCGCTTAGTTAGGAGCATACTATAATGGTAGAGAGTTTGTCACCTTTGTGCCATTTATATCATTTCTGGAATATTTTTAAATGTTTATACAGTAGTGTGCTGTATATTGAAATAAACAGAATAGAGGAAATCACCTCTAATATACATTATTTAGGTATAAATACTGGTCAGAGAGCCCATCGTAAGTCCGAGGCGTCTGTAAACGAGTACGTCGCTAGGTGAGGAGAGGCTGCATTTATTTAGGTTTAAGGTACATAAATTGTTTACAGTGATCTTAAACATGTGTGTGTGTTATTGGCACACAAATTACATAATGTAGATGTAATCTAGGATAACCCAATAAAGTCAGACACATATTGACTTTTCTATGAAAAATGAAATGCAAATGGGAAAATTAAAATGCAAGAAAAACTTGATCATGAAAAATATTTAAAACCTTCACAAACTAGAATGGTCAAAGTTTTTTCAATTTGCTGCTAGGGCATTTAACCCTTAAACGGTCCAAACGTATATATACGTTCACTCGCGTAGCGCCCCAAATTTTTTGAGGAAAAAAAAAATCTTTTCTTTTAAAAGGAAAAAAGAGCATATGGTACCCAGGCATCCCCAATTATTTTAATATGGAACACAGTGAGTGCACACACCCATTCTCTCATGTCTAGCTGACTCAGGCTTATTGTGGCAATGTTGAATGAATGACAAAGAAAACGTATATATACGTTTGGCGGCGCTATTCGCCGTGATGTATTATATACAGTTTGACCGTTTAAGGGTTAAAGATGGCAAGAATTTTTTTTTTTCAACAAACCGGCTGTATTCCACCAAGGAATGGTGACCTAAAAAGAAAAATTCAAGTTTCTCTTTTTAAATTTAGTAATGTATACAGGAGAGGTTACTAGCACCTTGCTCCAGGAATGTTAGCCGCCTCTTATGACACACAACATGACTTATAGAGGGAGGATTCTATTCCACTTTCTCGTGGAGAAGAATGTAGTATGGCAGTGCTAATACATCTACCTGGTGATGGTTGTGGTGTTGAGTACCCCATAGCCAGAGCTGGCCTTACGTGCAGGGTCCAATTGGGAACAGTTTTGATAGGCCTCATGTATGGAAAGCAATCGAACTGTGATGGTGAACAGGTGGCCTCATTGTGGAAACTCCTACTATGCACTAGATGACACTATGTCGCCTTAGCAGTTAGCTTATTTCAATGGACTGATCGCTGCTACTTGTGGAGTATTAACAGCAGATGAAGTTAATGAAACTAGAAGAATAGTCTAATGATGTTAAGTATTTTAGTTGTTTTCGTAATTATGGTTTTAATATTAATGGCAGAATGTTACCGTATGGAGAACAGAAGGCCTTCATGGGGATGGAATTCTTCAGCTTTAGACTCTGGCATTTAAGACCCTCTCGCACTTTTGCATCCTTCAGGAGATATGCATGTTGCTAGACAGCAAGAGATAGGAGGGGATAAAATTCTCCGCAACTCAAGGTGGTAAGGTATTAATGGGTGGCCCATGACAGATGAACCAGTGTGAATTTTGTGTCATTGTTTTGGCTTTGTCAAGCTCTGAAAGCAAAAAACGATCTGCTCAATAAAATGTCACATTAATGCTTTTGTGTCCGTTACCTAATATTTATTTATTTATTTTTGCACATGACATATCTTAATGTTGTGTAGAGCCTGTATAGTAAGATTACGAGTATTAATATGCGTGGAACTCAGGTGTTTCGTAGACTCAAGAAATTCATTCCAAGAGGCTGTTTGTGTGCCGTTTACTGAAGGAATTTGCTCCCATAATGAGAATATAAATTTAGATGAGTGTTTCAGGTCCCTTAAAAAATACACTTAAAGCACTTACAATAATACTACTTACAATAATTGTTTGATTGGGAGCTGTACGTAACTTGGACCGGCTGGGACACAGGGTTAGTTGTTTGGCGTACCATTTGTACTTCATATTTTATAAAGCAGAACGATTTATTGTCCATGTAGTTTTTTACCATGGAAAGTGAAGATAAACATTTTTCCTTATTGAGGATCTTATATTCATTTATTTTCATGTTAATTACCCTTCAATTATCTCTGCTTTTTTCTGTTTTTATTCTTTTTACTTAATATTTTTTTTTGTCTTCATTACTCGTGCCTTTATTTTTTCCTACGTTCAGCTTAATCAGTTTTCCAGATTTGCTGAGGGCAATATTTTAATTTTGTCTTTATGTTCTTGTTTTTCAATCTCATCAGTTAGTTGGCTAGTATCATCCATTGTGTAAATTACCTAGGATAACTCAGTCAGACAAATGGCTTATTTCCATTGGGATTAGGTTTGATTAGGTAAGATTGGTTAGGTTAGGTATGATTGGTTAGGTAAACAGGGCAAGTATTTCCTTGATGTGGGTCTGAGTCATGTGATGTCCCGCTCACTGGTGCTTTAGGTCATCTTACTGAGGTGAATATATTTATTGTAAGAAGTCTGAATAAATGTAGAATGGGTATAATTGAAAGCTGCTGTATTAGCGAGATGCTGTAAAGCCGGGCCCTCCGGTTCGTAGCTTTCCTTTATAAATCTTTATTTAATCTGGGTAATGATAATCACTGTGACTTAATTGCATTATGTTATTTCCATTTACAATGTGTGTACTTTGTTTATATTAGAGTTTGAGATGGAATGTGAGATGGAGAGATTTTTTGATTTGAGATACGGGTTGGGGGTGGTAAGCAGGTAGCATTTATGCATGGATTTCATAAGGAAGAACTGGATAGCAAGGATTTGAATCTGGTAGGTTAGGGAGTACAGTGCCTACACTCTGGAAGGATGTTGCAGTGCAGAGGGTCAATTTGACATTGTTTTATCTGTAAGATGGTGATTGAATAAATAATTTTTTGTGGGGGGCTGGAGGGGTGTCTTCATCCATTGTGAGAATGGCTGATGAGTTAAACATATTAAATTGTTATGTGGTTGCTTTTGCTTTCTCCCTCGATTATATAGATACCTAAATTTTGTCATAGTATTTTATGTGCAAAGTGCGCACTATAAGTGTTATAATTATAGGCTATCTAAGATGTTTTCACAAACTTCTTCCTTTGCCTTTTTGCACCTACAACTGCAAATTTGTTTTTTTGTTTTGATTATGCTTGGATCTTTTTTTTATTGACCTTTTTTTTATCCATATCAAAGGTACATTAAGGCATTATTTGCTCTGTCTTCATTCATTCTTATACATATGAACACCTCTACGTACGAGTGTTTCCACATGCAAGTTTTTCCAGGTACGAGTGGAGCTCAAGAAAAATCGAACTTAATTTCGTTCCAGAGATAATGGTTGGTTGTGTTCTAAATTGCGAAGAATGACAAGTCTGGATACTTGTTCGTATAGCGCAGGTATTTCCATAAGGAAAATAATGGTATTGTACAGATTAGAATCCGCTTCCAGAATAAGCCAAAAAGTGGATTCACACAAAATAATACTCATTTATAGAGGATTAATTACAGTTTTACTTACAACAAATTTACTATAGGATGTTTTAATTATGTATAGTAATACATATAAAAATAACATTTTTACTTACCTTTAGTGACAGATGGTGATGGCATAATGGAAGATCAGGGAGGAGGAGAGAGGGAGTTAGGAGGTTAGTGTTTGGAAGGTGAATCCCCCTTGTGACCATGCCTTATGATTAGCTTTCCACAAGACACATAACTTGTTCTTAATGAAATTGTTTTCTTAAACCTGGGATTTTTGAATGATACACAAGTAATGGCTTCACTTTAAAATCTCCACTAGCATTAGCACAGAACAAAAGACGTAAGCCTGTCTTTCAATAGGTTGTATGCCTGGCAGTGCCTTTTCCTCTATGTGATGAGGGTCCTTTTTGGAATTTTCTTTCCAGAACAGGCCTGTTTCGTCACAATTCAATAACACTTGTTCAGGTTTGTATTCTTGCATGTCTATGTACCCCTTAAAACTCCTGTATAAACGTCTCAGTGCACGATGTCTGAACTGGTGCCTCACCATTCTTACAACATTGTGTATGCACGATGCTTCTTTATCTGTCAAACCAGCCCTCTGGTGGCCTTAAAATTCCACTATCAGACTGGTTCAAGGCGTTTTCTTTACCAGATCTGCTCAGTGCTATTCCTTGCCTTTTCGCAAATAATCGTCTCTGAAACACTTTCACCTGCAATTCTCTTTATCCTTGATCACACCATGCAAACAACTTCTCAACCTCTTCGCTAATAATTTGTGGTCGTTTTTTGGTTGCCACAAACATTCAGTTCCTTGATTTGTTCTTTTCTGACGTAGGATAGAACCGTTGCTCGACTTGTTTTTCCATTAACATCCTGGCATAGCTCAACAAGTCTCACACCAACTTATACTTCTGTTTTAGTTTCCTTCTTCACTCTATGGAGTTTCTCACTTTCTTTACCCACAGGGGTACCAATTGCAAGTTTCTTTGGGCCATGGCGCTTATTTCACAGTCCACTAGCACTAAACCACAATGAAATTAATCATAAAATGTGTGAATGTGAGCGCAGGTTAGTGTTCACTCAAGCATAAACAAAGCTAGACTGCTCACAGCGCCTGCGCGGGGACACGGGCAGAGCGGGCCGGGAGACAGGTCCTGTACCCGGCGGTCCGAAAATAGGGGCGCGTTCGATAATAGGGACACAGTTTGTCCGAAAAAATGGTCCTATTTTCGAAACGTTCGATACGTGATACGTTCGATTTTTGAGGTTCCACTGTACAAGCAGTTGCTCGGTCAATTTTTTGCTTCCAGATGCAAGCGGGCCTCAGGGGAGGTTCCTTGACGCTGGTGAGGGGCTCTTGCTCTTGGTCTAGGGAATTGAATTTGAATTGTTTGTTAGACTATCTTATTGAAACTTGGGCAATGTATGATGGAAAGATGCTTCTTAGCATACACCAAAAATGAAAGAAATCGGACCATAAATAGCGGAGTACACTTCTCGGTCATTAGCCTCCCCTTAGCGGTATATTTTCGTATGGTTTTTATGTTTGTATTCTCGTTTTTTTTATCTCTTTCAATAGAATGGAAGATATACTACAGAAATAGATATGATTTTGATTGGTTTCATGATGAAAAGTACCTTGAAATTGAGCTCAAAGTAGCAGAAATGTTCGATTCTTTGGCAAATATTCAATGCAAATAAGATGATGTCCACCATCCAATACCTGTCCGATGGTGAACTGCCCCTCAACCCTTACTGTATTGGAAGAGGCTTCTTCAGCACACTAGCAAAAGTGGTGAGCAGGACAAAACGAGGTAGCAGTAGCAGACAACATGCAAGGCGAAGTGGCAGACACATGAGGACGCAGTGGCAGACATGAAGCAGCAGTGGTGCAGACAACATATTAATAGGGAAATTATTGAACCATTTTCTTCAAGCTGGAATGCCATGGAATGAATTAATTCATTCAGTTAAATTTAAAGGAGAGGTAAATTGATCTGCAAATGAGCAATTCCATATGCGAGTCGAGGTTAAGCTGAACGGATTAAAACTCTAAGTAGAGGTTCACCGTACTGCTAACAATAGTTGAAGAATATAGGCATTGAACAAAGCTTTTTATTGGGACAGTTTTTTATTTTACATATTTCATCTCCCACATGGCAGGGACAACTCGAAAAGAAGACCTTAAAAGATTTTCTTTTCACATTTCGTAGTTTATACATTAGAAGAAAGTTACTAGCCCCTTTGCTCCTGGCATTTTAGCCCCCTCTTAAGATACGCATGGCTTACAGAGGAAGGAATTCTTCTCCACTTCCCATGGAGATGAAAGGAATAGCAAAGAAACAAGAAACTATTAAGTAATGAAGAAAACTAAGGTGGGTATTGTCTACATATGTAGCATGTGTAACGAGTCCTATGTGTAGAAGTAGATAGTAGCAGGATATAAAGGACCCCAGTGGAAATATAAGTAAATTTGGGTTTTGGACCTTTTTTTTGGTTATCGATAGGTTCTCTAACATATGCTGCTATATAAGATAAATTTGTATTCACCTAATTGTCTCGCCTAATTGTGGTTGCAGGGTTGGTACTCAGCTCCTGGCACCTGCTCCTCTTCACCAAATGCTACTAGGTTCTCTCTTTCCCTGCTCCACGAGCTTTATCATAACCTATCTTAGCTGTGTATGGTTCTGCTTCCACTTCATCACTCGCCAGATGTTCCACTTCCTGATGCTCTATGGATCTGAAGAAAAACTCCCTATACATCCTCTTTGATACTGTCGTTCTGGTCTTCAACTTCATAGCGTGATCGCCTTGTTTCTGTGTTCCCTCTCTGGAAACATCATGTCACTGTCCACCTTGTCTATTCCATGCAGTATTTTGTTATGTTAACAGTTCCCTTAACCTTCCTGTCCTCTAGTTGTCGTCCTGGCAGATTTCCACTTAACCTTTTTCGTAAGACATTCCCCTTAGCTTTGGAACTAACTTGTCGCAAACCTTTGCACTTTCTCTAATTTCTTGATGTGCTTGACCCTGTGCGGGTTCCAAANGTGCCTGGTGCTGCATACTCTAGTATGGGCTTGACGTACACAATGTACGTGTCTTGAAAGATTCCTTCGTACTCACCTATTTGTGCTCACATATTTGTGGTTGCAGGGGTCGAGTCCTAGCTCCTGGCCCCGCCTCTTACTACCGGTTGCTATAGGCCCTCTCTCTCCCCGACTCCTTGAGCTTTTATCAAACCTCGTCTAAAACTGTGTATGGTTCTGCCTCCACTAAGACAGAAAATAGGATAGCAATAAAAAAGGAGGCTTTAGGAAAAGGGTAGGGGTGTGTGACCAGTGTTTACAGTGAAACATATAAGTGAACAGTATTTAGATAAGGCTAAAGAGGTCTTTGTGGCATTTATGGATTTGGAAAAGGCGTATGACAGGGTGGATAGGGGGGCAATGTGGCAGACTTGCAGGTGTATGGTGTAGGAGGTAGGTTACTGAAAGCAGTGAAGAGTTTTTACGAGGATAGTGAGGCTCAAGTTAGAGTATGTAGGAAAGAGGGAAATTATTTCCCAGTAAAAGTAGGCCTTAGGAAAGGGATGTGTGATGTCACCATGGTTGTTTAATATATTTATAGATGGGGTTGTAAGAGAAGTAAATGCGAGGGTCTTGGCAAGAGGTGTGGAGTTTAAAAGATAAAGAATCACACATAAAGTGGGAGTTGTCACAGTTGCTCTTTGCTGATGACACTGTGCTCTTGGGAGATTCTGAAGAGAAGTTGCAGAGATTGGTGGATGAATTTGGTAGGGTATGCAAAAGAAGAAAATTAAAAGTGAATACAGAAAGAGTAAGGTTATGAGGATAACAAAAAATTAGGTGATGAAAGATTGGATATCAGATTGGAGGGAGAGAGTATGGAGGAGGTGAATGTATTCAGATATTTGGGAGTGGACGTGTCAGCGGATGGGTCTATGAAAGATGAGGTGAATCATAGAATTGATGAGGGGAAAAGGGTGAGTGGTGCAGTTAGGAGTCTGTGGAGACAAAGAACTTTGTCCTTGGAGGCAAAGAGGGGAATGTATGAGAGTATAGTTTTACCAACGCTCTTATATGGGTGTGAAGCATGGGTGATGAATGTTGCAGCGAAGAGAAGGCTGGAGGCAGTGGAGATGTCATGTCTGAGGGCAATGTGTTGTGTGAATATAATGCAGAGAATTCGTAGTTTGGAAGTTAGGAGGAGGTGCGGGATTACCAAACTGTTGTCCATAGGGCTGAGAAGGGTTGTTGAGGTGGCTCGGACATGTAGAGAGAATGGAGCGAAACAGAATGACTTAAAGAGTGTATCAGTCTGTAGTGGAAGGAAGGCGGGGTAGGGGTCGGCCTAGGAAAGGTTGGAGAGAGGGGGTAAAGGAGGTTTTGTGTACGAGGGGCTTGGACTTCCAGCAGGCATGCGTGAGCGTGTTTGATAGAAGTGAATGGAGACAAATGGTTTTTAATACTTGACGTGCTGTTGGAGTGTGAGCAAAGTAACATTTATGAAGGGGTTCAGGGAAACCGGCAGGCCAGACTTGAGTCCTGGAGATGGGAAGTACAGTGTCTGCACTCTGAAGGAGGGGTGTTAATGTTGTAGTTTAAAAACTGTAGTGTAAAGCACCCTTCTGGCAAGACAGTGATGGAGTGAATGATGGTGAAAGTTTTTCTTTTTCGGGCCACCCTGCCTTGGTGCGAATCGGCCAGTGTGATAATAAAAAAAAAAAAGTAATATGCACATATGCTGCTATGTATGATCATTTATTTAACTGTATTTTTGTACCAATACCTGAAAAATCTTACTCAGTTGAACAAACTTTGAAAATACAGTGGTACCTTGAGTTATGAACTTAATTCATTCCAGAAGGCTGTTCAATTGCCGATACCAAGCGAATTTGTTCCCATAAGGAATAATGTAAATTAGATTAGTCGTCTCAGACCCACAAAAATACACTTGCATAATTGTTTGAGTTGGGAGCTGTTCGAAACTCGAGGTACCACTGTACCTGACAAAACCTGCTGGGCTGATTGATTCTGAAACAGTGGAAAAAGTCTGTTGGTTACAGAATTGTCTCATTACTATTAAAACAATATAATTTAGTCTCTCTCCACCATTACCAGTCACTCACTCTCCTATATTAGTCCATTAAATTAAGGCTTGATTGTATTACCTGTGCTTTACAGTGACAGTATAAAAATGGGTTAAAATATAATAAGAATTATATTGTATTGTAAAAGAAAAACTTTCTTGGGAGACGGCCGGTGCATTGAAAAAAGAAAATTGAAGCTTATCCACCATTTTTATTGGTATTTTCCTGCTCATTAATAGAAGTTCAGTCATGGGAAAATTATATGATAATTTTTTTCAGATGACCGGATCCTTGAATATGATGTTGATGAGCTGTTGTTCAGTGAGCAGACAGAGTTCCAGAAAGTTCAGATCTACCACACAAAGAGCTTTGGAAACATGTTGGTTCTGGATGATCTTCAGAGTGAGTAACACCAGGAATACTCTTGTGGTTTGTTCATGTAGTGGGAGTATCTGTTCACCACTGATTTCTTCAGTGGGAGTGCCTTGTTGATGAATCGCTCTATATCCAAGAAATTGGAGGTATCCTCATTCTTGGATCAAATCTATATAATAATAATAATAATAATAATAATAATAATAATAATAATAATAATAATATATTTCTACAAGTACATGTACAAGGTATACAGATCATAGCTGACATCAATGACATACTACTATATAGAAAGCCGCTTGTTATGCTGAGCATTTCCCATAAATTAGGTCAGTTTTGTCCCAGGATGTGACCCACACCAGTCCACTAACACCCAGGATGTGACCCATACCAGTCCACTAACACCCAGGATGTGACCCACACCAGTCCACTAACACCCAGGATGTGACCCACACCAGTCCACTAACACCCAGGTACCCGTTTTACTGATGGGTGAACATGGACAGCCGGTGTAAGAAAACGCTCCCAACGTTTCCACCCTCGCTGGAAATCGAACCCAGACCCTCAGCATGTGAAATGAGAGTGTTTGCCACCAGGCCAAGGGTCACTAAATACATGTGCATGATTTTTAATCAAGGTTTAGAAAAACCGACAAGATGATAAATAAGTCACTGTGCAGCATTTGGGTATTTTTATTCAGGGAGCATTTTGCCACACAGTGACTTCTTCAGTCCAGTGCAGAGAAATGTTAGAAGATGAAGAGTTTGAGGTAATCAGTCCTGAAGCATGTGTTTAATCTAAGATTAATGGACTGATACTGAGTGAGCAATAGAACTAGACCTAAACAATGTATGTACAGTACACTCATTACTTACAGTGCTCGTCACGGCATTATGCGGGTGAGCGCCCCGGCATAATGCTGTGATGACAGTCGAAGGCCTACAACACGGGGGGTCTTTTTTCATCAGTGCATTCTGCTGGGTAGCAGCCGTTAACTTGATGTCACGGCCTGCCGCCACACTTCACAGTGACTTCTCATTGCTCATGTGGCTGTCGTGGTGAGAGGAAGTGTTGCACTTTTGTCTCTCATCTGCCCCATCTTTTGTCCAGTGTTCCCTTTGGTTCTGGGGCCATACATGTTTGATTATGGGTAAAAGGAAATCTTTAACATCTGAAACTATAGCTCAAATCATAGGACTTCACAAAGCTGGGCACAAGACGAAATAAATAGTGGAGAATGTTAGTGTGTGTGAGTGTTCATTGAGGAACTGGGTGCAGCGTTTCATCTGGTGGCGGTGTTGAGTTACAGTCTGCCAAACCTCGGCCTGGCCCCTCCAAGAAGACATCTGCTTGTACCTCAACTGTGTTAAAGAAGCAGTTACTCTCTAACTCACGAGAAAGAAATTTAAGACAACATTTAGGTCCAACTTAAACCATTAACTAGCCACACTAACACATGAAGGTGGCAGGAGGCAGTCATTGAGTTGAAAAAATTAGCCTATTAATCTTTTGTTCATGGGTTTAGTGCTTGATTATGATTATAATTGTGTGAGCCAGGTAACATTTATGAAGGGATTCAGGGAAACCAGTTGGCCAGACTTGAGTCCTGGAGGTGGGAAGTACAGTGCCTGCACTCTGAAGGAGGGGTGTTAATGTTGCAGTTTTGTAACTGTGGTGTAGGTGCAGCTCTGGCAAGATAGTAATGGAGTGAATGATGACGAAAGTGTTTCTTCTTTTTTTGGGTCCCCCTGCCTTGGTGGGAAACGGCTGATGTGTTAATAAAAAAAAACTTTTGTTTGTTTAAACAGATCTTGCCGAGAGTGACCTGGCATATACTCATGGACTGATGAACAAAGGACTTGAGAACTTCAAGGAGAAAGAAATACTTATCCTGGGTGGAGGAGATGGTGCTTTACTCTGGGAACTGCTGAAGGAGAAGCCTAAATATGTCACAATGATTGATGTAAGTTCTTCCTCTTTAACCCTTTCAGGGTTTCGGCCGTACTAGTACGGCTAACGCACCAGGGTTTTTGACGTACTAGTACGCCTAAATTCTAGTGCCATCAAATCTAGTGAGAGAAAGCTGGTAGGCCTACATATGAAAGAATGGGTCTATGTGGGCAGTGTGTGCAGTATGAAAGAAATTCTGCAGCACACAGTGCATAATGAGAAAAAAAAAACTTTCCCCGTGTTTTTGGATTAAAACAGCGAATTTGCACTGTATTTTCATATGGTATTGTTGTATTCTAGTTTTCCTGGTCTCATTTTATAAAATGGAAGACATATTACAGAAATTGAGATGATTTTGACTGGTTTTACAATGAAAAGTACCTTGAAATTGAGCTCAAAGTAGCAAAAATGTTCGATTTTTACCAAAGTTCAAAAGTAAACAAATCATGCCAAGCGTTCAATACACGTCAGCTGGTGAGTCTAATATTCTTTCACAAGTGCGCTGATATTATTTATACCATTTCTACACTAATGCAGTAGTCTGCATAACAGTAAATCTTCTATTTTTTGTGAGAATAAAAATTCAAAGTGGAAAGCAAAAGAATGTAACAGAGGCCTGGGGACATGACTAATGAACAGAGGAAATGTTATTTTAGTGTCAGGAATGTCTGTCTTGTTTATTCTGGACCCTGTTTGGAAATTGGCATCTTTTGAAATTTGTGTGAAATGGGCAAAATTGCTAAATTCTGACCACTGTATTGGATAGTTGAAATCAGTAAATGGGTGGTTTCTTGTACTCAATCGATAGAAAAAATGGAGTTCTAGCGAAAGTTATTATTTTTGTCACGTAGTAGTACACTGGAATTGGCTGAAAATAGGGCTGAAAGTGGGCAAAATTGCTGATGCGTAAACATCGTCGAGACTGCTAACTTCGCGAGAGCATAATTCCGTAAGTTTTCCATCAAATTTCATACTTTTGGTGTCATTATGATTGGGAAAAGATTATCTTTTCATAAGAAAAATAATTTTTTTTTTTTTTTTTGAAATTTGGGCGACCCTGAGAACAATTCTGGGAGAGAGCCTGGGGACCCTGAAAGGGTTAATAACTTCCTGGAAATTTAAAATTGTAGCTTTTTGTCAATCATATTGTTTAAATTGTATTATTTTTGTGAATACTGAGGCATAAATTGTAGTTTCTTGTGGTTGATAGCCTTTCCCATGTAATTTTTTTTTTCTTTGTGCATCATAATGATTAGTTTTATTTTTTAAGTGATAATGATTAAAAGGTTTATAATGATCTTTGCTGGTTACATTTCTTTATAGAGTTATTATTATCATTGTAACTGCTAAACCAAAAGGGTCAATGGTAAAAATTCTAACTTCATGTATTAACATTAAACTTGGTGACCTGTAATATTTAAATCACCAAAAGCACTTTATTATAATTGCCTATGGCAAGAGAGTGACAGTGTGAATAATGGTGAAAGTGTTTTTTTCTGGTCACCTAGTAAATAAACCATTTGTTTGTAGATTGACGATGCCGTAATGAGGTCGTGTGCCAAGCACTTGAAGTCTGTATGTGGAGACTGCTTGGACAACTATGATGGAGAACACTACAAGGTATAGTGATATTTTAACTTCATCAGTAATTAGGTATTTGTAGAATTCAAATTCAAATTCAAAGTTTATTCTCTTTAAAGATTACAATGTTGAATTTACAGAATTTGGTTGTTGTGTGGTTTACATGTAGTTAAATAATGATTACAGAGTGTACCACTAGAACGCCTAGCATGGCTAGGCATTTCGGGCAGACTTAGTTTAATTCTTTATTTTAAAATATTACAAATTATGAGGTAAGTTGGTATTATGGCTAAGTGACTAAATACTAGTTTGTGAGTTTAGCAATGTGAATGCTTTTGTTTTGGCACAGTACATAGTTTCAGTATTGGAGTATCATAGGATTCATTATTTTAAGATTGAGATTAATATTTCTGTTTATGGTCAAATGAGTGAGTGAGTGTAAGTGTGAACCACCAGGTGGTATTTGTGTAGTTAGTTGACGGGGTGTATCAGGGAGATAAGATGTTTTCTAATGGTAGTTTTGAAGGTGATGAATGTGTCTGCAGTTCTAGAGTTCTCAGGTAGGGTGTTCCAGATTTTAGGGCCTTTGACATACATTGAATTTTTGTGAAGGCTTAGTCGGACATGGGGAATGTCGTAGAGATGTTTGTGTCTGGTGTTATGCCTGTGGGTTCTGTCACAACTATCAAGAAAGCGTTTTAGGTCAAGGTTGATAGTGGAGTTTAAGGTCCTGTAGATGTAGATTGCACAGTAGTAAGTGTGGATGTACTGAACAGGGAGTAAGTTTAGATCTATGAAGAGTGGGGGGGTGTGTTGCCAGGGATGGGATTTAGTGATTATTCTTACTGCAGCTTTTTGTTGGGTTATTATTGGCTTTAGGTGTGTTGCTGCAGTTGATCCCCAAGCACAAATAGCATAGGTGAGGTATGGATAAATAAGTGAGTGGTATAGTGTGAGAAGGGCATTTTGCGGCACGTAGTATCGTATCTTGGAGAGGATCCCAACTGTTTTGGATACTTTTTTGGTTATGTGTCGGATATGGGTGCTGAAATTCAGGTTGTTGTCAAGGTATAGGCCTAGGAATTTGCCCTCATTATGTCTGGTAATTAGAGTGTTGTCGATCTTAATGTTAATTTGTGCATCTCCTGCTCTGCTACCAAACATAATATAGTAGGTTTTGTCAGTGTTAAGCGTAAGTTTATTGGCTGTCATCCAAGGCGATATTTTGATCAGCTCCTCGTTAACAATGGTGTTGAGGGTGGCAAGATTAGGGTGAGAGATGACATAAGTCGTGTCGTCAGCAAAGAGAATGGGTTTCAGGTGTTGGGATACGTTTGGAAGATCATTGATGTATATGAGGAAGAGCAAGGGACCAAGGACACTTCCCTGTGGAACTCCAGTATCAAGTGGCCGTGTTGTTGATGCTGTGTCTTTAATGGTAACATACTGATACCTATTAGTAAGGTAAGATTTGAAATAAGCAAGCGCATGGCCTCTTATACCGTAATGGTCAAGTTTGTGGAGTAGGATGTCGTGGTCTACTGTGTCTAAAGCTTTTCTTAGGCCAATAAAAATTCCTAGTGGATATTCCTTATTTTCCAATGCTGTGTAAAGCAGATCTAGCATTTTTAGATTGCATCATTAGTGCTTTTATTTTCCTAAATCCAAATTGGCAGGGGTTGAGTATGTTTTGTGCTGTTATAAATGAATATAGTCTCCTGTGCACGAGTTTCTCAAAGATTTTGGATAGCAATGGTAAGTTTGATATTGGCCTATAGTTGTTTAAGTCTGTAGGGTCACCACCTTTATGTATTGGTGTAACCCTTGCCATCTTGAGTAGTTTCAGGAAGGTGCTAGTTTCTAGTGACTTGTTAAAAAGTAATGAAATAGCATGCAAAAGGATATGGGCCGCTCGCTTGTACAGTAATGGTGGGACATTAGACAGATTCCCGGAGTTGTTTTTAAGTGACTTTATAATCTCGGTGACTTCCGAGGGCTCAGTTGGTGCAAGATAGAAGGAATTTGGGAAATTCCCATCTAGGTAGTCCCCGGCATGGGCATTAGTATGTGGGATTTTATTGGCGAGATTAGATCCTATGGTTGAGAAGAAGTCGTTTATCTTGTTAGCTGTGTCAGTGGGATGTAGTGGTGTTTCATTAGGTTTAGTTAGGACAATATTCTTGGGTTTTTTCAGTTTGTGGGTCCCTAGAATCTGAGAGAGTGTTTTCCAGGTCATTTTTATATCTCCTCTAGTGTCTGTGAATCTACTGGAGTAGTATAGTTGTTTGGCTTTCTTTATTACTTTGGTGAGAACTGATGAATAGTGTTTAAGAATATCTTTGTGTATTAAGCCCTGTCTATATTGCTTTTCATATTGGTGTTTCTTGTCAATGGATTTCAGAATGGTGCTGGTTAGCCGTGGGCAACCAAGTCGTTTGTTTGTGATCTGTTTCGTTTTTATAGGACAATGTTTGTTGTATAGTCTAAGTAATTTGTTAAGAAAAATGTCTGTCCAGTCATCAATACCATTGGCCTTGGAGAATTCTGTAGGCCAGTCAACAATCTCTAGGTCAGTTGTGAACTTCCTTATTGAGGCCTCGTCATGGAGTCTAAATGAGACTTTGTTGTATTCAAGTGGTGGTTTATTAATGTTTGTCAGGAGGAAGGTAGGGTAGTGGTCTGTAGTGCTATCTGTGATTATCCCTGATTTAAGGGGGGCTAGTATATTGGTCCATATGTGGTCTATTATGGTTGCACTTGTCTCAGTGAGCCTGGTTGGTTTAGTTATTGTTGGTATGAGAAGTGTGTTGTTCAATATTGTTGATGAAATCAGTTACAGGCTGATCATCTAGTAAGCCAAGGTTGATGTTGAAGTCTCCAGCTAAGAGAAGGTGACGCTTATTCATTTGTCTGTTTGTTATTAGTGACTTTAATTTCTCACTGAAATTTGGGATGTTTGTGTGAGGTATCCGGTAAATGGCACCGATTGTTATAGGTGTCTTAAGGTTTTTTACAGTAAAATTAGCAAAAATGTATTCCCCATATTCATCACTAAAGCAAGTGGTGCTAATACAAGATAATTGGTTAGAGTAATAGATTGCAATACCACCCCCAACTTGGTTTGGTCTGCAGTTGTGAATTGCTGTGTATCCTGGTAGAGGGTAGATATCTATTGTGTCCTGCTTAAGCCAGGTCTCAGTAAGAATAATGCAGGAGAAGGGTGTCTTTAGTGATTCAAGGAGTGCCAGGAGGTCATCATAGTGTTTGCTTAAGGACCTGATGTTGTAGTTAAGTACTGATAGACTTTTAGCATTGTTTAGGATAGTGGTGGCTTGTGATGCTGTGTAATAAAGGCAGTTACTTTCCAATAGGTTTTGATTGTGTGTCAGATTATGTAGGTTTAGATCAGGGTCAACGTGATCACTCATTTTCTAGGTTTAAATTATGGTTATTTATATCCTGAGTTGTGTGTTGAGTTCTAGTACTGATATCTGTAGTGGTGGGAAGCTTGGATAAGTATATAGCTAGAGTATTTTGGTCATATAGAGTATAGTCACTACTACACATAATGAAGTTGATGTTGTCTATGTGTTGTGCTGGAATGAACTAAAGTACAACTAGGTATAAACTAGTAATATAAAAATACAAATTTAAAATAGAACAAGACTCTCACTTGTAATTGCACTAAGGTCTAATATAATGACTTTTGTGGAGTCTCTGTTTTGAGCTACAATGAGCTATAGTACAACTAGATTTAATCTAATAATATAAAAATACAAATTAAAAATAGCACCAGTCTCTCACTAGTAATTGCAATATGGTCTAATATAATGAATTTGGTATTGACTATAGTACAACTGAGTTTAATCTAATAATATAAAAAAGGCACAAGACTCTCAATTGTAATTGCACTAAGGTGTTATATAAGTTGTTTACAAGAATTAGAGTATAACTAGATTTAAATTGACAAGATAAAATATACAAGTTAAGGTAGCAAAAGAATAAAAAAAGTAGAAAAAAAAAAAATTATGAGGTAGTTGGTACTAGTTAGCAAAAGATAGTTAAGGCCTTGAACAATAATATAATTGAAATATACACTAATTGCATACACAATATAGTCACTAAGATATGAAAACAATCTTAGAGTAGGAATTATAATATAAACTTATATAAAAATACAAATTGAAATGGTACTTGCAATTGCACTAGAGTCTGGTATAGGTTGTTGACAAGATCAAGAGTATAACTAGATTTAAATTGACAAAATAAAATTCACAATTAAAGTACCAAAAGAATAATAGTAAAAAATAACAATGGTAATGTCTTGGTTATAATATGATAGTAAGATGGTAGACAGGTACACAGGTACACAGGTACAGAGGCACACAAGTACACAGGTACACAGGTACAAAGGATAATATAAAGGTTGGAGTTGAATATACAAACTTGAAAATTTGGCAACAAAATGTTATGGGAAGTATAAAATAATGTTTAATGTACAAAAGTAAAATTGACTGGTAGTAAATATGGTGTTTAATAAAATTTTAGTAAGTAATAATGATTACAAAAAAGTGAAAAAGTAATGTTTATTTCATTCAATATTGCACTGGTAGTTATACTAGAGGTTATATGGCAGTACAAGGTAATTAAGAGTACTCTAAGATAGTAAATGTGGTATTAAAACAGGTAAAGGTAATTAGACAAGTAAAGGTTATTAAATGTCAAAAATGTTAAGAATAAATTGAAATTATAGTAAGAATGATAATTATTAATTTTAGTAAGTAATAACAATTGATAGTATTTAAAAAAATATGAGGTAGTAATATGGACAGAGAAAGTATCAATTCAGCTAATGTTTAAGCAAACAATAGTAAATAAGAAAATTACATAAGGTGACTTATGCTTACTAGTAAAATCACAAAATGAGGTAGTTGATTATTTAATTACTAAGAGATTGTACAATGAAATTTGAACAATAATGGAGCAAAACATACACTACACTACGTAGGCTTTTAAGTTGGACATTGTTTAGTTATTCT